TTATCTAACAACAAAGTGAAAAGAATGCTAGGCGGGGTGAATATTGCTATCCAGTCACAACATGGGGAGACAATCCTTTTAACTAACCATACAATTTCAGCGCCTACTCTATGAATCTGTAATCCACTTCTGGCAAAGGAACATTGAAAATCTCCCTGGTGTGTGTCGCTCCATATAATTAAGGCAGTAAAAGTCCCAATGAGGTGTTAAGTCTCAGTATCTTTCCCATCTGAAGTTCTAAAAATACTGAAAATTATTCATACAACATTTTGATAACACATCCCTTACCAATGCCTTCCTTCTAAAGAGAAAATAAATTATTTTCACACTGAATAAAACAGTTCAGTCCACTCAATAAATAATACATTAGGATACTGTGACTCATGCAAACATTTTTTGTTCCCTCGTTATATTTTTATAAGTTCTTACCTTAAACTGGCTTCCATCCTGAGCACCATTTTTCATGTCGTACCAATGAAGTGGATTTTCTTGCCACGTTCTCAATTGCTCTTTCATTGTTTAAAGTATTTTTTTGAAGTCAGACAAAACTTTTTGATTAAAATTTATTTTTGATCAAAAATGGCATTCCCCTCCCCCAAAATATGATCCGTTTGGGAAAAAAAATCGGAAGTGTAGTTGAGATTTTCTGGGGTGTGCGTGTGGAAAAATGTATGTCATATATAAAATCCAGCTGGGTTCTAGAAATATTTGGTGTGGTAGAATGGTTTTGGCCATATCAGAGCAGTATGCTCTGCTTTTAGTCACAAGGAAGATGAAAGGAGAGGAAACTTCTTTGTGAGACAGAGGGTATGTCTACACTACAGAGGGTTTTTTTCAGCAAAATGGCTGTTTTTCTGAAAAAACTTCAATGACATCCACACTGCAATTGCGTTCTTCCGAAATAAAATTGAAAGAACAGAGGGGTTTTCTGACATTGGTAACCTCATTTTATGAGGAAGAAGACTTTTTGCGAAAGAGCTCTTTCGGAAAAAGGCGTGTGTTGATGGGGAAGAGGGAGTTCTTTTGAAAGAAGAGGAAAGAGGAAAAAGCACAGGCGCTCTGATGACCACTTAATCCATAATAATCGCAGCTTGCATGCAAGAAAGCGTCCATTCAGTATGGACGCTCTCATTTGAAAAAGCCTATTGCTTTTTTGATGCACTTTTGCTGTGTGGATGCTCTTTTTCAGAAGAAGATCTTTTCCGGAAAAGATTCTTCCAAAAGAAGCCTGTCTAGACATAGCCAGAGTCAATACAGTGTCACCCCTGTCTTTGTGGTCCCACAGAAGTCTCAACAGATGCATTTTTGGGACCACGGGGCTTGTAAGAGCTGATCAGAGATCATGCAAAGTCAGGAGATGGCCTAGCTCAGGAACATCATCCCTGCACTAGCTCACCAAGGTTTCACCCTGGAAGAGGAAGCTGCCCCTACTAACATTGATTTTGATGGACATTGCCAAACGGGGACTCAAACTCCGAGGAGAAGAGGCTGTCCATAATGCATCCAGGAAACGCTTGGCTGTAGAAGAAGTCTTAGAACTCCCCACACCTTCTTTCCCAGAGGTATCAAAATGCATGGGATTCCCCCTGAGATCTTGAGAAACCTACAGAGATGGAGGATCTCTCAGAAAAAAAAATCAGAATCAAGGAATCCGATAACTTGGCTTCAGGGTTTCCTATAAAATGTGAATGTGTGCAGCCACTCAGAAGACATTCAAATGCCACCCAGCTGATTACCAGAGCACCCACAGCTTGTTTTTTTGTTTCAGTGGGTGGTGCACATTCACACATGCCTCAGTGCACATAAAATTTTATTCTGCACATGGATGGAAAAAACTCTGCACATGGACAGAAAAGAGTAGAGGGGACATTGCCTGCAAGTGAATGTTGTTGTTGTTGTCGTTTTATGTCATTTTGTCTTTTGTGGTTTTGAGTTCTGTCTGTATTTTAATAAAATCAGGGCTGGATTGAACTGCGTTTTCCAGTGCTGGTCAGTGTGTGGGGTTTGTGAGAGTTAATTCCTTTGGCTGGAAAATAAAAGTAAATATAAGTGTTCCAATGGGAGCACAAATAGATTGCTACAAGGTTTTGTGCTTTCTGTTTTTTTAATTCTGTAATCTTAGAAAGTGGGAATAACGTTTGGGTAGTACAAGTGAAGGCACATATATTAATGAATATGGAATCTGTGGTAGATTCATCTTAAATCAGACACGGTGGCCACTCTGGCAGAAGAGAATAAAAGCCACAGGGGTGCTAAAATTAAAGGAATTTACACTGCAGCAGTACATTAATCCAGGCAGATGGTATTTCTTGGGACCAGGTAATTTGAAAGCCGCCTTAGATGTAGTTTTCACTGCCAAGATGTGAATCAGGAATAAAAGGCACAAGGCAAGGGGATGCAAAAGAAGAAAACTCAGGTACGAAGACACGGCTAAGAATCACGGGCATGGGTGTTTGACTGGTGTAAATCAGTGATGTTTTGTTTATACCAGTGGATCTATGCCTTCTCCCACCGGCTGACCATCTGCCCATTGACTAGAAACATTCAGGGCTCAGAAGCCTGTGACGTTAAGGTCTGAGATTGTTTTTCAGGTTCTGTTCCTTCATGAGTAACACCAGGCCTCGTTGACACAGGACTAGGGTACGGCTACACTGTGTGTGTGGGGGATGGGGAGAGGTGTTCCGAAGAAGGTATGCAAATTGCACTCGCATTTGCATATCTTCTTTGAGTCTTTTATCGGAAGAAGATTTTCCGATATTTGGCCTATCTACATGGGGCCAAATATCAGAAAAAATGCCTCTTTTGGAAGCCCTCTTAGTCTTCGTAAAACGAGGTATACAGGAGGCATCCGAAAGAGGGTTTTTTTCTGACATTTAGTTCTGTGTAGTTGGGCCAAATATCAGAAAAACCTCTTCCGGGAAAAGAATGGGAAGAAAATATGCAAATGTGAGCTCAATTTGCATACCTTCTTCGAACACCCTCCTCGCTCCCTCCCCCAGTGTAGCTGTACCCTAGGAGTTGGAGCAGGATCATCTTCTCAAGTGGCTAAACCTACACGAGTGAGTTTCTTTTCCCCTCTGATTTCTTTGGCTGGGACCTTGTCTGCCAGTTCTCTGAGTTTTTTAAAGATGGGCTTTTTCACAGTCTGTTGTCCTGATTCTGCATCTCGTCCTTTCCTTTCCCAATAATCATAAATTCTCTCTTTTCATGGCAACTTTCAGCCAAATTTCCTTTTGCCATCTGATGTGCTACCACTTTCTCTTTGTTGGTCAAGAATCCCGTCTACAATGGCTATTCCCCCAAGATACCTCCTCCACCTTCTGAAACAAACCATGTATCGTCAGAATTCATTGGGAAATTTTGCTGTATTATTTTGTGTACATCACTAAAGGTCCTATTTACTCCCAGGCCTTGTGTTTTGGGTATTTCTTTCGTTCTACAAATGCCTCATCCCATTTTCTCTTCCTGATTTGGGGGTCTAGACTTCACTTTTACCATGATGTCACCTCTATTTTTAACCCCTTTTATCTTTACCCAGAATCTTTCAAGGGCCTGCCTCTCACATCCTCATGTACCTCAGAACAAACATGTACAAAGCAAACTTCTTCACTTTTTACCCTGCCTGCTTTTCCTGAGCAAACTGTACTCCTCTAGACCAATATTCTAGCCATGACAACTATCCCACCAAGCCTGTGTGATGCCCGTTAAGTCATAGCTTAAACATAGTAATACATAAGCTAGTTCTTTGTATTCCCTATGGGCCTTGCATTTGTTTATAGGCATCTACATTGAGCACATTCCCCTCCACCAATATTCTCTCCATTTTCTTCCATTCATGTGTGGAATAATTTTTGTTCTGTATGGATGTGCACCACCAATAGAAACACATGCTGTTGGCTGTCAGAGCTCTGCTAACCAACTGGGCACCACCTGAATCTCTTGTTGGTGGCCACCCAAGTGCTCCGCTTACAAAGAATACTGCTGTCCACTGATTTCCCTCGCATCTATGAAAAATGACTTTTTTCACATAAGCAAAAAGTGATCAATTCAAATGTTTCCATCCTAGATGCATCCAAGACCCGATGCCGATAATTTTACATTCCAAATTGTAATGTTAGGCTCTTTTGGTCAAGAATAATTCAAACCGGACTCTCAAAAGACTCTGTCAGGACAACCTTTTAAAAGCATAATTACTCTCTGAACTCATTGTTCACTTCTCCTTTGCCCACTGAAAAAAACCAATCAGTTTCAAGAGCCAAAGAGGAAGTGGATGAATAACTGAAATGTGAATGTTTTCCCATTTTTATTCCACATTTGTGCACAGTCTAAGCCCCGCGTGTGCAAGCAAATCAGTCAGAGTCTCAGTGAAATCAATAGCTTTCTGGACTGTCCATATGATCTGTCTGCAGAGATCTAAATATGAGATCGGTGCTGTAATCTAAGCAGTATTTATCTGTATTGATCGGGTTCCACATTTCATGCCCTGCTCAGGGTAACGTCTGCAGAGATCTAAATATGAGATCGGGGCCGTAATCCAAGCAGTATTTATCTGTATTTATCGGGTTCCACATTTCATGCCATGCTCAGGGTAACTACAGATAAAACCTCTCTAGTCCAGAACTCTGATCTGGAAACATCTGTGGTCCGGCATGATTTTACTTAGCAGGATGTCCACTTATGGGTGTGGACAAGTTTCCCGTGATCCCATAAAGTTTGTTTGCAGCCACCAGTCCTGGTTCTCAGTGTTCTGTGCTGTTATTTAGCTCTAATTCACCCCCCAAATGTTTTCTAAGAATGCAGCAAGCAGTGGCAGTGTTGCTAACACAGCTAGACAATATTGACCTCCCGTGGTCCAGCAAATTCTCTGGTTTGGCACCACTCAGCTCCCGAGGGTGTCGGACTAGAGCGATTCAACTTGTATTCCTAATCTAGATAGTGGGTCTGATGGAGAGATGGGGAGAAGGAAAGAAACCCTGCAAAATGGCTGAAATTCACCTTACCGTCCTTCCTGTATTGTTCACTAGTTGGCAAGTTCCAACCAAGATGACGCTGAAACGTTCCTTGACGACGCTGAGGATTTTCAACTCTTGCTAATGGTTAAGGCAGAGGCTTTGAGTGGAGTTCACAGAGTAAGTCATTTGCACTTTAGAGCTGCCTGTCTTTCTCTCCTCCTCACCAGGCAGGACGTGTATTCATCTCAGGTGACGGCTGTGAAGTCAGCAGCCTCTCGAGAGTGCTCACTGAAGTCAGAACCAAAGAAGAGAGGAGGACGGCTTCAAAGATGATCTTCAGCAGCGTGGTCTCTGGGGAAGAAAGAGGAAGGAAGGAATAAGGTTCTGTTTTTCTGGCTCAGGTCTGCACTTAGGTTCTGAACAGCAACAAATAAACCTGCCCTTGTTTCATACACTTAAACCAGGCGAGAGGAGGTGAAAGGGACAGAAAAAAGGGTGGTGAAGTAATAAAAAGAAAATCAGATTAACACTGATCATTAGTTATCCGGTACATACGAACTGCTGGAGTGGATCAGCCCCATGGTCCATCTATCCCAGGAGTGGGGAAACTTTGGGGAGAAGGCATAAGACCCCCACAGCGAGCAGACCTCAGGCAATCTGCCCTCCCATTAGTCCTACGCTGCTCAGAGAGTGGTTTAGCATGATGTCTAAATGCCCTTCTCAAGTTATCGAGGAAATTTTACCTTTTCTGCGGGCTTTGACCTTGTGTATGTTCCTACACCAGACTGAAAGCCTTCTGCGGCCCATATGCACATTAAGGGCACCTGAATTTCTCCTCCACCACTGGGCCTGCCCTGGGATTGATTAATTTTCATACAGCGGGGCCGACAGCCTGGCCAGGCCACTGGGCAAGGCCGAGGTGGGGGGGAGGTCTGTTCTGTGGCCCTAGAAGGGGCGGGGCCTCAGATAGAAGGGGCGGAGCTGTTGATAGACAGCCCTCAGCGCGGCCTGGAGTGCATGGTGCGGCGCTCCAGCAGCCATTTCAAGGGCCCAGTGCTCCGAATGCCGCCGTTGCCATAGTAACCACAGTGGCGGCCAGAGTTCTGGGCTCTTTTGTATCACCAGGCCTGGGGCCGTTGTTCCCGTTGTTCCCCCCGTGGGGAGACCTGATGACATATTAGTTACTCATTAGGCTCATGAAACCTAGTGTGTCCCAGGTACTTTTGCAGTCCTAGAGACGGCACATTTCCTGCCCTGGCTTTCCAAAGATTTAACACGTCTGAGGCCTTAGTGACCACTCTGTCATGTCCAGGCATGATATAGCATGAAGTGGCATGACCCAACTGGGTGATGGTGGAGGAGCAGAGCAGGCTGCCTCTGCCCCGGGCCCCTCAGGTAATCCTGGCAGCCCTGGGCCCCATGGGGACCATTCCATCCATAGAAGGGTTGAGGCAGCCACCACAGGACCACTCCAAAGTGGGGGGCGAAGGGTGGCTGCCCCCAACCATCCTATGGAGAGGATTATTATTACTGCAGGGTTGATTGGCTGGCATCAGATCCTTCAGTGACCCAGGCTTAGATAGATGGCTTGTGCATCTGATCTGGGTTTCACAACACAGGCCAGCAAAGCAGCTGCCCCCGAGTTCGTATCGCCCTCTGCTTTATTTGCCTTGTAGAGAAAGTCACACACGTGCCGATACCAGGACAGAGAGAGTGACTCTACACACACTGAGTACACAGTCTCCTGCTCCGCCGGCCCTTGGCTGGAGAATGGTCACCTTTGCAGGTGACCAGGCTAATTCAGCTGGCCATGAACCTTTGGCTAGCTTTGAAACGGCCCCCGTTCTAATTACTGCAGGCATTCTACACCCAGCTGTTGTGGAGAGTGGCTCGTATTTCCTGGCTGCCATGCTGTCTTGAAAAAGCCCTGCCAGCTGGAACCAGTGACAACGGGAGTTGTAAGCACAGGCCCTCATTAATGTCCTCTTGCCTGCCATCAATTCTGAGACAGCAGGGTCCTATCACATTGGACCACTTCTATTCGCTGCAAATTCAATTGCTTCTTGCAGCCTAAAAACAGGAGACTCCTGGTAACAGGACAGGTTTGTTAAAGGAAGAAGAACATAAGAACAGCCAGACTGGGTCAGACCAAAGGTCCATACAGCCCAGTGTCCTGTCTGCCCAGAGTGGCCAATGCCAGGTGCCCCAGAGGGAGTGAACAAAACAGGGAACCATCACGTGATCCCCTCTGCTCTCCCCCATTCCCAGCTTCTGACAGAGGCTAGGGACACCATTCCTACCCATTCTGGCTAACCACCATTGATGGACCTAACCTCCGTGAATTTAACAGGGTTCAAAAAAGATAGATAAAGTCCTGACCTTCACCACATCCTCTGGCAATGAGTTCCACAGGTTGACTGTGCGCTGTGTGAAGAAAAACTTCCTTTTCTTTGTTTTACACCTGCTGCCTATTCATTTCATCTGGTGACCCCTAATTAGTCCCCATCATTTTGCATGCATGTGACGGGGCAGCCTCGCCCCGCACTCAAGCCCAGGGAAACCACCTGGGGCCGGGGGCGGAGTAGTCCCCACCCACACAGCCCTACTGGGCATGCTCCAAAGGGGGCAAGGGTACAAAAGGCTGCTGGCCTGCTCAGAAAGGGCAGACTGTGACCCAAGCTGGAGCTAGCCACCCCGGGCCAGAGAGGGAGTCGCCAAGGGAGCTGGGCATGCTGCTGCCAGGCCTCAGCCGGGCTTGGCCCCAACGCCGGAGCCGCTGACCGACCCCCCGTGACCCGAGCACCGGACCGGACCCCGCCAACTCTGCGGCTGCCAGGGGGAGTACCACTACAGCCAGTCGACCGACGTCAACAGGTGGGACCGCGGCAGGCTGCGATCAGGGGGTAGGAAGCGACCCAGGCAGGGAGCTGTAGAAGCCCCTGAGGGCTCGGGGCGTTGCGGGGAGGAGCCCCCGCCGAGCCAGTGGTGGGGACCACCCGCCACTACTAGGGACCCAGGGCAGGGAGCTGTAAAAGCCCCTGAGGGCTCGGGGCATTGCGGGGAGGAACCCCCGCTGAGCCAGTGGTGGGAACCACCCGCCACTACTAGGGCCCTGGGTCGGGGCCTGGTGGAGAGGGAGGACCCGGGCCCCCCTACCCCTGCTGCCCGAGACCCTGGCAAGTGGGGACTGGGGTAACAAACACTGAACTGTGGACTAGGCCCGTGGGCTGTATTTCCCCCACGAGAGGGGCATTGTACTTTGAGGGCTAGGCCCAGGCGGCATCCCGACAATGCACCATTGGGATTTTTTCCCCAATATGCCTTACTTTGCATTTATCACCATTGAAACTCATTTGCCACTGGAAGGGGCGAGGCCTCAGATGAAAGGGGTGGGGCCAGGATACTTCCCTGCTTCCCCACCCACAGACCATGATTGGCCTGGGGGTGGAGGAGTGCCTTTGCCTCCCCGCAGGTTCCTCCTGGGTGCCCATGCCCCTGGCAGTGGGAGGAGACTTCACGCTCTCTGCCTTCTGCCCCCAGGACAATCAGGGCTTGGGGGGGAGGGGCTCATGTGAAGCCTCCTCCCGCCCTGCCAGGAGCATGTGGCTCTTAGAAGAACCACATGCTCCTTGCAGGGCGGGGCCAGGGTGGCCAAAACTTCATGCATTTCTCTCTAATTAGCCTGGAGGCAGGGGAGCGGCAGGGCTCCCACTTGGTGGTCCGGATCCAGCCCGCAGAGGCCCTTTTGCCCACCCCTGCTCTAGACCCACGAGTGATCACTGATAGCACCAGTGGAAAATCTTCTCATTCTGAGAACAGACAGAACGCTCTGCAACCGGACAGAATACACGACAGCAAAGATTTGGTTCCAGAGCACAGAGACCGGGCCTTCTGATGCAGACGGTGATAAGGAAAATGAAGCAGGGTAAGGCAAAGATCATTTGAAACACCCTGGCAGGGCCAAGACAACAATGCTTCCCAGATCTAGCAAGGCACTGAGTGTCTGCTGGAATTTACTAACTCGACCAGGCAGTCAAATCTATCACCCCGCCCTAATCTCTCCACATCGAGGGATAGTTTAACGGACTTGGAATGGTCTTGTTCCACTGCAGGTCACAATGTGTCAGAGCCGTGTCTGCTCACAATGCGTAACCACTTCTGGAAGATTTTTTGTGGCAGCCACGATCACCAGTGATGGAACCCCAGTCTGAATCATGTTTCACTACTTCCACCACTTCTGAATCTCAGCCCCAGGGTTCTCTTTCATTAAGACCCACTTATCATTCATTCTCTCACTGATGATAAATCAATGTTTGCTTGGGCAGCATTTAAAAACCAATTCTAAGTCCCTTTACAACAATTTACCTCGTATTAAAACTCCGTAACTCTCATGGTACCTTAATTGAGTTCCCACACATTTAATAAAACATCCATTCAAGCCAATGGGAGATGTCCTTTACTGCATCTATCCGTCCAAACTGCATTTGGTGTTGCAATTACATCCACACAGCAAGTAAGTAAGTAACAGCATTTCTGGCCAAATGATATATAACATTTTTCATAAGGAAATAGATTAATGTGAAAACCTGTACTTAGATTTTTACATCTACATTTCAAATATCTTCTTAATGTAAGTACAGGTTTTCACATTAATCTATCTATTAATTTGCCTTTTTTTCCCTCTAAGGGTCATATGTTTAAAGGTGAAGCTAAATGGACTATTTTAGCAGTTAAATGAACTAGAGCGTACTATTGGGTAGGACTAAAATATTCAGACAGTCACACTTAAGACACAAGGGCTAGGTCTCGAAAAATCCTCTATCTTTCGACTCCAAGCCTCTTTTGAAACTTTTGAAAAAGCCTAAAAAAGTGGCTTGCTTTTTCTAAAGTACTGGCTGTAGTCTAGATGCTCTTTTTCAAAAGAGAGCACCCAGGCAGTCTGGATGCTCTCTTTCGAAAAAGCACAGTTTGCATTACACAGTGCCTTTTTTCGAAAGAGCCCTTTCGAAAAAAAGGCGTTCTCCCTCATAAAACGAGGTTTTACGTGGTCGAAAAAACTGCTGTGTCCTTTTGATTTACTTTCGAAAGACCGTGGCAGCAGTCTAGATGCAGGGGAAGTTTTTTCAAAAAAAGGCCACTTTTTTCGAAAAAAAACCCCTGTAGTCTAGACACACCCTAGGATTGCAAGCGACCTCCTGGGCAATCAAGCCCAGTCACTGCCTACTGCAAGCAAGCATGTCATTTAATTCTGATCATTAATGTATCAAGCTCTATTATATAGCCAGTTAGTTTGCCCCACTGCTCCCATTGGAAAACTGTTCCTCTCCGTACCAGAGATCAGGTTATAAGTGGGGTTGGGGTATGCCTCCCACTTCAGGGCTTGTCTTTACTTACCCAAGATCTACGCTCGGAGATTCATCTGCCAGGGTTTGATTTAGTGGGTCTAGTAAGGACCTTCTCAATTGACCATTGATGGCACCTCTGTTGCCCTGAGAACTCCACTGGGTCATGAGGAGTAAGGGAAATTGATGGGAGAGATTCTCCCATTGACCTCCTGCAGTGGGGATGCCCTAGCCTAGGGAGACAGTGCCCCTCACTATGAGCAGGTGCAAGTGGTCTCTGTCACAGCCCTTCCTCAGTCAGCCAGGACCATCATACTCCCTGTTTTGTCATCACGAGGGGGTATTGATGGAGTAGGGCCAATCAGCTGGGAGGCAAACTAGCCCACAGCACTTCTCCCTCAGAAACCCTGGCCACGTTTTAGTAAGGTCTACATTCCTGTGTTGCTTTGCCTGGACAAACCTGCTTTGTTTGTGTTTGACTAGTATGTGCTACTAACCAATCACTGTGTCCCACACCAGAGCTGGCTGCATTTCAGTAGGGCTTGTGTGCCTGGAGTAAACCATCCTGATGGTCCTGAAAAGGTCTCCAAGTGGGTGACAGCTGCTATGTAAATCAAATAAAAACGGACGTAAAAAAACCGACGTGCCCGGCACACTTCGACAATAATAATAAAAAAAGATAAGAACTCCCTGTAATAACTCAGTGAAAATAACTCTTCTATTCCCCATAATGACCAGTGCTGACCTATATTGGATGGCATACTCCCGGACTGTGTGTGAGGCTCTCAATCTACTCTCCAAAAGGTCAACATT